CCCCCCCAGTCTTTCTATCCGTGGCAAAATCCAGAGGTAATGCCAAAGCCCCGGTGATAGCCACACCCATTCTTCGTAAGTCTCAATACTTTAAGGTCTTGCAAAGTTGACCATCAATAATAAATATGGACAGCTGGGAGATGGTCATCTGAATAACAGCTTACAGCTATATAATAGTTCAAGAGTGGACACAAATGACTACAAATGTCCACTTGTGGCCGGTTCACTCTACAGCCCATCGGTTGCCTAAAAGTGTTGGTAGTATTTTACAGTACTAACTGAAACAAAATTACCAGGCAGCCATATTGTCCATTAACTATCAGTTCCCTAGCAACCATTGGCAAAACACAGGCACTTAGTGGAGCAACAGTTATGAACAAAGACGAAGCTGAGCATGGACAGGAGACCAGTCAGGGTTCACAAAATGGTGGTAACTGGACCTTGTGATGACCCTCTAGCTCTCAGATCTCTAGATTCTAGAATGTGACAATACCCCCTATCAGTCCTTCTGGCCTTAGAAGAATCCACAGATGGTACCAAAGTCTCTGTGAAAACCAAACCTATTCTTGGTAAGTTCAATACTTCAAGGTCTGGCCACCTGATCATCTATATTAAATATAGACAGCTGGGAGGTTATCTGAATAACCGCTTACAACTTTAGAAAGGTGCAAGAGTGGACATTCAGATTACTGTACATGTCCATCAGTGACCAGTCCTCTTTTAGAGTTGCCTAAATCAGTTGCCTAAATGCGTCCGTGGTATTTTACTAATCAAAACAAAATTACCAGGGATCCATTTTGTTAACCATCTGTCCGTTCCCTAGCAACCATTGGCAAAACTCGGGCACTTAGGTGAACCACAGTTATGGACAAAGACGAAGCCAAACATAGACAGGGGACAAGTCAAGGTTCACAAAATTTTGGTAACTGGACCTCATGTTGACCATCGAGCTCTCGGATCTCTAGATTGTAGAATGTGATAATACCCCCCTTTCCCCCTTAGCAAAAGCCACCAATGATGCCAAAGCATACAGTTACGGACAAAGATGAAGCCAAACACGGACAGGGGACAAGTCAGGGTTCACAAAATGGTGACCCTATAGCTCTCAGATCTCTAGAGTCTAGAATGTGACAAATTTTGGTCCCCTCTCAGTCGTTCTGGCCTTAGAAGAGTCCACATGTTGTGCCAAAGCCTCAGTGAAAACCAAACCCATTCTTGGTAAGTCCCAAAACTTATTGGTCTTGCAAACCTGACCATCCATAACAAACGTGGACAGCTGGTTGACGGTCATCACCATTGTATCTCAATAACCGCTGACAACGTCCCTGCCAAAGACTTTTCAGAGCCTGTTACCTAGTAGTATCCACATATTTTTGTGTTTTTTTGCCAACATTTTCACATTCATTTCACTGGACTCATACAAGTGTAAGGTTTCATGACAAGAACATATGGTTGCTATGACAACATTACCAGTATGGATGAATGCAGCCGCTTTCTACTCCGGATCACTTCAGTGCTCATTAAAGTGAACCATTGTACCGGTTTGTAATATCTCGGCTTTGTGTTTTTATTTTCGTTTTTGTCTCATAGATTACTGAACAATGTCCATCAAGGTTCATCGCTCACAAACTCCAGTGGTTCTGGTCCACAAAAAGAAATAAAACAAAACCACTCGTGTACAGGGATAAGTGTAAAGTGTATGTGTAGTGAAAGCTATTTTCGTTTTGGATAAAATAAGGAAGTGTTAAAGCTGAAATGCAATCTGCTTATATTTTGCCTTTCAGGGACTCTCTGATGGTCTCTATGCAATTTGGGCAGATAATGGCTGGTGGAAGGGGCCAGCAGAGTGCTGTCAGGGAGAGGGGAGAGCAGAGTGCTGAGAACTGACTGGAAGGACCTCACTGCTTCTACTGTGAACTTTGAGGATGAATTATTTCACAGTGCCTGCTGCTAAAATAAAATAAACATGTCCAACGAGTTCAATAAAACTTTGCATCCTGAGAACCTGAAAACTTGCAGCTGATCCAGAGGAAGGCAAAAAAATCTAGGGAAAAATAGCGGCATGGAAAGTGTGCCTCAGTGAATTGGTGTGATCAAAGAGCTTTGTTTTCCGAGTGGTCCCTGTGGATCCCCTTGGCCTCAACCTCTCCAAGTTTAGAGAAGTGTGTATGTAGGGTCTATTTATAAACAATTCAAAGAGTTGTTTACAATTCGACCTGCGAATATCTGTGAACATTCACTGTGTGAATCGAGGCAAAAACAAATGTTCTTTGTACATTTTCTTTTTAGGTTGAATGTAGTGTAATGTAACACTGCGTTATGGCCACTAGATGGAGCTGTGTTCAGTGGGTCGCCGCGTGCCTTCCACAATCCTGGTACCTCTACAGCCTGCGCAAAGGAGCTGTGCAAGCAGTGCACACAGAGGCGGAACTAGAACCTTCAGGGCCCCGGTGCAAGAAACCACGAAGGGCCCCCCCCACCGGCATGGCACCGCATGGTTAACAGGAAGGTTCCCGAGGTCCCCAGCAAGCTGCTTGCTTAAAATGTTAGTGCTGTGTTCTGTCGAGAACGCCGACCCAGTATCCGCGCTTACGTACAGACGGGATTACCAAGGAAACCGGCATTTATTTACTAAGTATTCGTTTGTAATTGTTAATTGTGACCGTTAATAATATGCTGTCCATGGCAGTAAATGATGGGCAGCATATTATTGACGGTCACAATTAACAATTTAAATGAAATACTTTGTAAATAAATCCCGGTTTCCTCCATAATACCAGTCTGTGCGCAAGCGCAGATGCTGAGGTCGGCAAATTCGACTACATCCGCATTCTCGACAGAACATCGGTATCTGCGTTTAGTATCGGGGCATTTTCATAAGTATAAGTACTTGTGAAAATGCCCAGTATTGGCAGTGGTGTATCCCTACTTAAAAATATAATGCATTGCTGGGACTTGTAGTCCTACATAGTTGGAGCTATTCTGCATTGCTGTATAATCATCATACAGCAATGCAGAATACCACCAGCTATGCGGGACTACAAGTCCCAGCAATACATTATAATAAGTCAGCTATGCAGAATGCCACTAGCACCCCCGCTATAATGCATTGTTGGGATTTGTAGAACTACATAGTTGGAGCTATTCTGCATTGCTGCATAATCACCATACATCAATGCCGAATACCACCAGCTATGCGGGACTACAAGTCCCAGCAATGCATTATAATAAAAGTGAGCACTCACTATATCACCAGCAATCCCCCCCACACACACACTGATGTGTGAAGATTTATGCCTAGTGAGAGCAGGGCAGCAAATATCTGCGGAGCTAGCTTGCTGGGAGATGAAGAACGATCTCCCTTTGACCCCCGTGTGTGTGACCCGTCCCTCGCCTCCTTACCTTTTTCTCCGTATCGCGGCTCTCAGCGGCAGGGGAGGTGGGGGGACTTCTGAGGGTTGCTCCGTTCCTCGCTGCTGTACTCCGCAAAGTTGGCGGAATGCCAGGGCCCGGTCGCAATTGCGACCGCTGCGA